TAAACCAACCATGAACAAACAAACCAATAGATTCGACCACACTTTCCAGCTATTCTTCCAATATAGTGATTTGACGCCGACGTTCCCCGTTAGAAACGATCCACAGCAGGTGACGGTACCACAACGATACGAATATCGTTCCACAATCGACAAACTCCAACCTGCCAATACGCAGTTTGTCACTAATCGTCGTAAATCCTACATCGTCGCGTCACTCACTACCTTATGTGATAATTAATATATTTAACGCTCTTTTTTACCAACACCAATGTTATGGCTTCAATTATCAACACCAGTTTCTTCCAGCGATCGTCAAGTTATCGTTATTTCATAGGTTCAAGATTTCTAATAGTGAAAACAACTGCTTCAAACGCAAACTTGGTTGAACTTTTATTCGAATGCCAACAGTAAAAAAAAAACACTAAACTAATTCAAGTAACTACATAAACTTCGCTATTCACAAGTACTTATTTATCTTATACAGTAGATTTTTACAATCCTCTATTGTATGAAAAGATTTTATGGCTTACAATCTATGACGAATAGCGAAGATAACAAATATAACAAGACAACAATAATTAATTATATAGCGTAATTCCACAATTCCGGCGGATATAACAATATATATATGAGCTTATTATATGAACAATATATATAAGTGCTTATTAGCACTTATATATATATTCTAATATAAAAATATATATTGGACTCAACCTTAAGTTCGCAAAACAAACAATTATGAAAGACAAAAAATAAAATTAAGCAAAAACAAATAATAAAATAAAACAATATGAAATAAAGTAAATAAGTATAAAAAGAAGACATAAAAATTCAATGAACAAAACTATTGGAAACATTTAAATAGCAGGTACCATAAACTAGCGGATTGATTAGCAGTATCAACGATAAAAATAATAAGATAATGTACTAGACAAACAAACGAAAATATTCAGTCCAAAAACTTAATTTAGTCTTAAAATCTAACAAAATAAACCTATGACAGACTAACAAACGAATAATCAATTAATCGAATAATAATAAAATCAAAAAAAGCCTTAGATAATATTAGATCTTGCATATAAATTTACATGAACTTGTTTAAAAAAACTGGAGGAATAAATTTTGTTTTCTTTTATTAAAATATATGAAATTAACAGTAAAAAACTGTTTTTGCACTTTAGTTTATTCTCATCGAAAAACTCTTGTAATGTTGTAATGTTGATTGTACAGACATGTACATTATTTGATGAACGTTACGTTACAATGAGTCATTAGTTAGTTTCCACGCACAAGTTTTGTTTAATTAATATTCAATAAGAAATCGATTTGATTATTACTTTACAAATACATATAATTGCTTTGATTCTTTGGTTGATAATATCCATTATTATCTTTAAAACATGTCAAATCGCTATGAACTAATCAGCCAATTGATCGGATCATTATTTTTTATTTGTAAATGTTTAAACAAACTAATAAAAATTTTGATCTTCCAATTATTATTGGTAAATAAAAAATCGAATTTTTTTTAATGAAAAGGATTGAATTGGGGGACAGAATTACCAGTAGCAACACAAAAGAAGGTGAGGTCGTGTTGACGTTGCACGATTTCAATTGGTCAGACGTTGGCGAGTACAAAGTTGAGGTCTCAAATGAATTTGGAACAGTCTCAAGAGTTATAAAAATGGAAATGTCAGGTTAAAAATTTACTTGTTTTTAAAAATATTTTTGATTGATTGATTAGTTGATTGATTGATTGATCGATCAATCGATCAATTGGTGGCTTGGTTTAAAAATGGTGAAAATAGTAAACACTGTTGTTTTTATTTAAACATGGCCGTAGGTTTTATAATTTTTATTAGATAATTAAATTTTGAAAATTTTATTAGTCCTGACTTTTATTAGAGCATTCTGTTTTGAAATAAAGTATGTAGAAAGTGAATACTGTAATTTTTCAGAAACAAATAGTAGATGTTATTAGTAAAGCAAATATTACAGAAATTCAAACACAAATAAACTAAAAAATTTATTGCAGATCCTCCAACCTTTTTGGAACCAATGAAGGATCAAATATTTCATTTGCACAAAACTGGAAAATTGGAATGTCGAGTCCACGGAATACCATACCCTAAAGTTTTATTCAAAAAAGATTGGAGAATTGTTGCAGGGTCACACAGAGTACAAACTATTCGTGAAGAATATGATCACTGGACATTAAACGTTAAAAATGCTATACATAGTGATGAAGGGGTTTATGAATGTGTGGCTGAAAATGAAGCTGGTAAAGTTTACTGCACTGCAAATGTGAAAATAACTGGTTTGTCGACTTTTTTTAAACTATTTAATGTTTGTGTACACAAGTAATATTTTAATTATAAAATTTATATTTCAATTTTAAATAATTTTCTGGTTGTCACAAGAGATCAAAGTAAATGCCAAGAAGCTGATTGAAAAAGGCAGATGTGGTACTGAAAGGTTTAAAAACAACGAATAATCCCAGTATCCGGTAAAGAGGTAGATTTGCTACAAAAAAGAACATAAAAACTTTAAATAGAGCAGTCAGCCTAGCATATGAAAAAACATATTAGAATTTTATGAAATGAAAAAATTATTGGTGAGACTAATAAGGATAAAGGAAAAATGGAAAAAAAAAGCTGGCCATACTGTAAAATACTGGCCATCTCATATTTTCAGTGCGCTTTAGGGTCTGGGTCATTCTTAAGTTTTCATGAAAAATTATTTCTCAAATTCATGAAATTTTACAATTTTCATTGTTTTTCAATAAATATTTATTCCCTTTTTAAAGATTTTATTCATTTCGATTATTTTTTAATTGATTTATTTCATGTATTTGTATAATTTAATTGATTTATTTCATGTATTTGCATAATATTTCTGCATATTTAGATTCTGATTTTATTTGCTTTAACTTATAGATATATCGATTGAAATTTTTCAGCCAAAACTGGTTTATGGAGAGACGTTAAATTTAATCTTGGCGCTGTTGAAGATTTTTTTCATGTTGTAGATGAAATTGGAAGGTAATTTTTACGATTTTCATAACATGACATAAACAGAAAATAATGAGGCGCGAACTGTCGTTCCTATGCCTCCAACAAATTATACCCCTCAAATTAAAAGCAAAATTAGAAAAATAATAGTAATAACAAATAACAATAATAATTAATTAATTAACTACATAAAAATAAACTATATTAATATAACACCAAAAAAATAATATTCTATATAACTATAGAAGTACATGCATGAAGTCACACAAATGAACACATATCAAAGAGTTAATTAATTAATCCATTAATTCACGACTGCCTAGATACATATACATGCATATATACATGAAAGCATACAAAATTTACACATGCAAATTCATTCGTCTGTACAGCAAAACAAAGGAAAAAAGTCAAAAATTTATCCAGTCAAACATTAAATCTTTATCAAACATATAAATTAAACAAATCGGAAAGGAAAGCAGGCAGAATGATCTCAATCTCTTGTCATGTTGTAAACCAAACTTATGTGTCGGTAGAAAGGAGAAAGGTAGAAAAGAGTCGTACAAAATTTGACAATTGACAACGTAAGTATAAGTGAAACTAAAGTTTGCAAATTCCTAAAAATGTACCTAAATACAAAATTAACATTTGTACCTCACTTAAAAATGTTGCTTCAAAATTCGCCAGAGGCTTGGGCTTAATCAACAAATACAAATTTTATCTTCCCACTAAAAGTAAAAATGCAATTGTAATTTAGTTTGGGCTTTAACGTACAAATTGGACGGCGTGATGGCTCAATGGTTAAAGGCGCTTGGTCTTGCTGCTGCAATGACTGGACTCGAATACAAAGAGATCCTACAAAGATATCCTCGCCTAACATATGCAATGTGTATGATACGTGTTTTTTACGCGTATTCATATACGCTGTGTTTGTTTGTCGTTTAAATCTTTGAGGCAAGCCCAAAAGAGAGAGTAACCTTTAACCTTTTTTAAATCAAACATTAAAGCAATTTTTCAACTCATGAAAAGGGCATTAAAGTACTCTCAGACATCTACCTTCACTCAATAAATTATTCTAGAAATTTTTCATCACAATCAAATCTCAACTTCTCTTTCAAGCAACAACATGCTTACCTTACAGGAATTTTTGTCTTCAAACAGCAAAATGGATTTGTTTCGCATGCATTTGTTGATTACTTCAAATACAAAAAAGCCAGAGAAACATGAAAATATATCTGTCTTGTTTTAAAACCGGCAAAATAGAACATTTTAGTTTTCCTTAATAGTTGCTCGGGTTCCCGACTCTGGAATAAATTTCAAAAACACAACCTAAGCTGCAATGTTATATCTTTGTATAAATTTAAAAAGATCTTGAAATCATTCATGAAAGACTTTAATTTGTTCTAATATTTTTTAAATTATCATTAGCACTATATTAAAACGCTGAATTATTAGAATTTTGTTTGTTTTACTGTACTCCTTCCGTTCAAAATTACTTATATTTAAATAAACTCTTTTGAAATTTTTGATGTAATTATTATTTTATAGCCCGGTGGTAGTTTTCCTTAAGTCGAGCACAAGCTATATGGCCTAACAAAGTAGGACGACAATTTGCAAGTAGAATAGAGTCAAGCAGTTTTTATGTTTTCTTTTGGCCTTGGCGACGTGGATACAGTAAGACAGACTTGAGTGTTTTAGGTTTTGGTCAAAATATTTTATTTTTCATATACAAATGAGTCATAAGAATTCGGCAAAATATTACATCATTTCCGCCAAGTTGTGTATTTGGAAGGCGAGACATATTTAGACAAATTTACAAATTGTACTTATATTATTATAACAAAATTAATATTAATAATTATCATAAATTAAAAAATGTTTATAGTGAACAGAAATATATCAATAAATTAAAAAGTAGAACGTAAAATTATTCAAAAACAAAATTCATTAAATATTTTTTATTCTATCAAATCATAAAAAAGATTTGTTGGACCGCAATTATTTTATTCTAACAACATCTGTTTTTATTTTCAAATGATTAGAGGATCGTGTGGAATCGTGCGTCGAGTTATAGACAAGAATTCAGGTAACCAGTACGCATGCAAATTCATACAGTACAGTGACCTGGCTACCAGGGATGAGTTAGTTCAAGAACTCGAAATATTGGCACTGCTCGACCACGCAAATGTTGTTCAGGTGGTTGATGGTTATGAAAATAAAAAGAGACTGGCCATTGTCATGGAAATGTCAGTTATCGTTTTTCCATAATAATTTATTGTTCTATTATAAAAACGTTAATTATATTTTACATGTTTGTTTGTATATTCTTGTGAATTTGCGGATAATTGAATAAATTTATATATTTTCAAAGTTTAATTTGAATTACATGTTTAATTTGTATTTATACTTTAGTTTGCTGATTTGTAAGCAAGGATGTCATAAATCAGATGCGTTTAAGAACGACGTAAAATGTTTATAATAATAATGTGCTGTTAGAGTGACAGGTGGTGAGTTGTTGCAAAGGCTGGTCACCGAAGATTCTTTGACAGAAAGTGAAGTGGCTTACTACATACGTCAACTGCTCATTGCTCTCGAATACATGCATTCGAACAATGTCATCCACCTAGACCTCAAAGTTTGTTGATTTCATTACATTTTTTATATTCCAGTAGCTATTTTGTAATATTTATATATTTTAAATATTATTCGATATTCCCCTTTACAGTTTAAAAGATTAATTAATTTATTTTAATTTTTACTAAGCCTGAAAATTTGCATCTTTCTAACCAAACAACTGATGAATTGAAGCTAATTGATTTTGGCTATTCGCGTCTGTTTCACCCTCTTCGTAAATTGCACGTCAAATATGCCACACCTGAGTTCTGTTCACCTGAAGTGGTTATTGATGACACAATCACTCCAGCCACTGATGTTTGGAATGTCGGCATTCTTACCTATTTGCTGTAAGCAATCTTTTTACTGCAATGGTTTAATTTTTTAAATTTAAAATAAAATATTAAAAATTTAACCGACTAGATAACATGATTTAATTTACCCTATTATTAAATTGATCAAAATTTTATTGCATTCTTTTGCATTTTAACAAACAATCCTATTTGAATATTATTAACAATAGAAATAAATTTTTCTTTGTAATTGTTATTTTAAGAACATAGGTAAATAAAGATACTTTAAATTTAATTTATTTGTCTATTATGCAAAAGCAGGGTTTTCCATATAATTAGATTAACTTTATTGGCACTCGAATTTACCCGCGCACAGGTTTGCCCTGGCCTGGTGTCATTCTTTAGTTTCCACGAACAATCAATCACTCATCAAATTTTACAATTTTCATTGTTTCAGAGTTTATTAATAATTGTCATAAATTTTGTTAAGATTGTATTTATTTTGATTATTTTTTTTATTTTATGGATTTGCATCATATTTCACCATATTTATTTTTTTGCCTGGTGTCAGATGAACCGTAACAATCAGTGACCATTATTATTAACAGACCTTTTTTAGGTTTTTATTAAAGGAGTTAATAAATATTCAGTTTTTGATGATGTCACCTCTTATAGTAAGGTCGCAGTTGTTTTCAGTGACGATCTAAAATGCAGCAATTTAAAAACTGGAATTAATGCTGTATTTAGATCACCACATTAAAATCCTAAAATATTTTCAATATTGTTAACTATATTTTACATGATCAAGTTTCTAAAACAAAAACATATCTAGTAGGTGATTTTTTTTAATTAAAGGTAAATTTTTTCGATCTATCCCTATTTCTTCTAATATTAGTATCGTCTTTCAGTTTTGTACATTTAATACTCCAACTCATCATTACAAGATAATATTTTGACATATAATTTAAATTGACAACATAGTGGAAAGATTATAAAAGATGACATAGAATCATTTTCTTATTTCCTGCATAAACCTCTTTCTTAATGATCAAACAAAATAAGCCAAAACTTTTTCAATAAATAAACTTCTAGCGATATCAACAGGTTAAATTTTATGATCAGCGGAACAAGTGAATCTAAATATCAACAATGATTATGTCATAAATACACATAAATATACAAACTCAATAATGTATTCGCGATTTGTTTTAATTCAAACTGCTGCCAGTTTTTATTATTCACAAAAGCAAATTTTAATTTTTGTAAACTTTCACTTTGAAACAATATCTTTGGTATTAGGAACGTATGCAAATTGGATCCGAATTTGGATCCACCCGGATCCATCATGAAGATTTTGATTAGGATCTAGATGTCACGGATTTCAAGTTCTTGGATTTGTCCCATATCTAGGAGATGAGCAAAAAAATTAGTCTTGAATATTTTTCATTAAAATTTGAACCAAACCTTTCGTAGCTATGTAGAAAAACGTTACACAAGTTGAATTACTTCCAAATGCATAATACCTCCTCAAGTCAAGCCAATGATTAAAACAAGGTACAAATAAAATCTTCTGAAAAATTTGATCCTGGCTTGTACTCCAGAATGAACATCTGACATTATTCTAGCATTGTTTTAACCTTGGCTTCAACTTAGAATAATATCCATTCGGGATTTAATAACAACATTTTTAGTAACTATGTATTATGTTAATACATATTATGTATAAATAAATATACAAATAACAAATTGAAGCAATATATATATATATATATATATATATATATATATATATATATATATATATATATATATATATATACATACTTATTAATGAAAATATTTATAGAAAATGAAATTCATATCGATCGGCCGTTTGGTGGCCCCATCATAATTGGAGGCCCGGGGCGGTCCGCCCCCGCATCTCTCGGTACGCTAGTGGAGTAATTGTCTATAAGTATTATTGTACATGTATGTTTTGGTGTATATTCTATTCTTGCGCTTTTTGCATGAACATCGTTTTTTTAATATTTTTTAGTTTTAAAATTACGCTTACTTTTAAGGTTAAGATTAGTAACCAAACTATTATTTTCTTTTATGGTCTCCCGCATTTTTGATTCAATGAAACTTTTATTAAATTAAAATGGAAATTTTTTTGAAATAAGTTGTATAAATCAATTTAGATTAAGTGGTATTTCCCCGTTCTATCGAGAAACGCACAAGAAAACGTTGGCAGACATCCGTGATGGAATGTGGGAATTTGATGCTCAGGCATTTGCTGACATTTCTGCTGAATCGAGAGATTTTATCAGCAAGCTCCTCCAAACAGATCCTAAGTAATTATTATATATTTTCATATTTTTAACAATCCAAGTTTTCACAAGACCCACTTTAACACAATCACAATTGAGTAATCACCGCATATTCAACACATTAATAGAAAAATCCATTCTTTGGCACAAATCATTTACATTTTCATAAAATGTTTAGGAAAATAGTTTATATCCCTCATTACTTTTTTATTTCTCACTAGTCTGGTATTATTTATTACTTATTTTTAATTCATTTATGTATTTATTTAACTTATATATATTCATATATTTACTCTAATACTTGTTTTTTATTTTTCTGTAACATGTAATTTTTATTTTTTAATATTTATTATTTTATTTTCATCATATACCGTCATATACCATATTTTCATGAGCAACAAAATGGCGTTTAAGATGCCCGGGTCTGCAGTTGCAATGGCTGGCTACGAAAGCAAAGAATTCTGCCTATCACATGCAATGTTTGTAATTTATGAATTCGTGCAGTATAAGTATACACTTTTTAGCACCTATCTCTCTAAGTAACGAATTCCAGATTGTCCGGGCTGTCACTGTCAATCTTCTACCACTAATCGCCGTTTCAGCTTTACAACAATTTTATGAACTATCACCATTCCATTCGCTGCTAATCTTAGTCGAAAATTTGACGGTACAATATCAACCCATCTACAAACTTCATCAAAACTGACATTTGAATGCCAACTTTGCAATCTTTGCAAGCTCCTTACCTACAACACCAGCCACCAACACATTGGGCATAAATGTTCAGTTCCTGGCTAAAGATAACTCCTAGACACCTTACCGACTAAAGTGGTATTAAACCAATCCAATTTATCGCCCATCATAGGCATCGATGTAGAACCATGACAAGAGCCAAACCAAATTAGTTCTGTTTTATCAGGATTAAGCTTCAACCGGTTTCACAATAACCAAACATCAATTTTTGCAATACATGTAGCAATTCTTGTTAATATTATTGGTACCTCATTAACATCACCCAGACAGTAAACCTGAAAGTCATCGGAGTGCTTGTTTGCAGAAATACCAGATTTTTCTACTTGTTCCATAAGATCAGAAACGTACACCAGAAACAACAGCGGTCTAAGTACCGAACCCTGTGGCACTCCCAACCAATAATTCATATTTCTCAGACGAACCACCCGCAAATGACGCTTGCTAGTGACGCCTAGTCAAAATTTACTGCAGCCACTGCAAGGTTACAATTGATACTCCAAACTCATGAAATAGACGAAACATCAAAATGGCATGGCTAACCGTTTCAAATGCTAAGCTGAGGGTCAAGCAGCGCCAGGACAATTTTTACCCTATCAAAAATCAAAATTCAACTGACGCAGAAACTGTAACAACATGCAAGTCATTATTATAAAATGAGAATGAAATTATAACGGAAAATAATTAATAGATTTAAAAGGTTCAATCATGGAAAATAAAGTTATGACATAAGAAAGAAACAAATAAATAATTAAATTAAGTTAATTTGTTGACTTGTTAATGACTAAATAAATACATATAATTAGTTACGTGTCACCTTTATGCTGATGAAATCCAATTGCACGGATCTGGTCGTCCTGAGTCATCGTGTCAAGTGAATGATATGGTGTCTGGCGCAGTAAACGTAAAAGTCATCAAATACAATACAATTAAAGAAAATTAACAAAATTGAACAAATGACAAATAATTATTGTGTGATAATATATTTTAGGTGTCGTAGGATGAAGATCTTATCCTATTAAGCTGTTTGAGTCGCGACTTTAGTGGCGAAATTGCAAGTGGAAAACAGAACGGTAATTAGACATAACGCGGCAGGAACCTACTTTCTTTATTATGCGCACAACAATTTTTTGCATTAGTTCGCTGTGTGAAAATAGTTTCTCATTAACGGTAATCATTGGAGAAGCTGCCATGTCATTTTGTTTTCTCATGCCAAATGCGCAGTGTTAATCTTCATCAGTGCGGCACAGGCAAGAGAGGTAGCTGCCTCGGGCGGCACTTCTATTAGATTAGATTTTACTAAATTATTGAAGGCTTTTGCATCTGAAAAGAGTAGGAAGTAAACTTCTTACACTAAGTCATGTTAAAATATGCCCATTTTGCATGTATTTGCTTGCTTTTTGTGTTTGTACTGTTTGGATTTAATGTTTTGCAAATGTACGTTTTGTACGTTACTTTTAGTTTTACTTAAAGGTATTTTTTAATATATTAGTGCTTTTCAGTTAGGGCGGCAAACTGGAATCTTGTCTTAGGTGGCAAAATACCTTGAGCTGGCATATACCGGTTACGTTGCACCAAGCTTGGTTTAGGTTAATTACACTTTGTAACCTTTTTGTGCTGGCTGCGATGATAGCCGTGTCGTTGGCAAATTGAAGTAAAGCTAATTTTTGGTTTTTAAATTGAATGTGGGTTCCCACACATAGCCGCACTGTTGAAATTTTTTTGATTAGTTTTCTCAACGGATTGAAACAAATCAAACGACAATGGAAAGACAATGGCCTTGGAGAACCGGACCGGAATAGGAGAAGTTAAGTTTTCGCAACCTAGAACATATATTGAATAATCGGCATAAATATTTTTAATAAGTTTTTTATCTAGAGTGAGATGTGATGATGATTAAGGGTAAAGATTATGAGGCTGTGGCTGGCTTCCCAAGATGTGTTGCCAAAATCTAAGAGAATGATGATGATATTACGTTGGTGTTTTTTCTCATAGTTGACTACGTGCGTTAACATCTGAGCGCGCTCAGTAAATCTACCAAATTTTGAAATAGTTACACATAAAATATTATTCATTTAAATTAATCTCAGCTCACACAAGATACAAATACTTTGTTTGCAGGTTAAAAAACTAGATGTTTGAAAAAATGATTTAAAATATGTTGACGTTTTCTGACGTATAGGGCTCAAAGAAATTATAGTGTTTTGTAGCAAATTTTAAAAAATATGAGATTTCAAAATATGACTTGGTCATTCTTGCAATTTTAAAGTTTTTAAATCTTTCAAAAATATTGACAATTTTGCTATTTTGCATTTATTTCCAGTGTCTTTTAAAATATTTTTAGTTGTTTGTTACTTTTTTGTCAATATTAAACAATTACTGTTTATTCGTTTTTAATTGAATTGTTAAAACACTTTTAAACAGAAAACGACTAACGATAAAACAAGCGCTGATTCATCCGTTTGTTGAACTTTCTAACCACAGAGGTCTCGGCCATCGAATCAGCGTTGATAGGCACAAGTCTTATATGGTCAGGTCAAGATACGAGGTGATGGTCGGTTTTTTGTAAAATATTTTGATATTTTAAATTTTACAGCTAACGAGCTGGCTCAGAAGGTAAACGTAGAGAGTTTTTCAAAAGAGCGTTCATCAAAAAAATTTCAAACATGCAAATCTGCATGCAATCATTGGTCTGAGAATTGGACACTAGCTTTCACAGCATTTGTGTTTATAGTTTTAGGTTGTGAATATACAAAAATAAAATAATTTTTTAATTTTCATCCCTAACTTTTCATTTTTATATTCATTTTTATTTTGTGCAGAGAGGTCTGAAAAAAGTGAAAAATTGTGTCATACTTCGACCACTGACGTCTTACCAAGACGAAGCTCCTCCGATATCATTAGAAATTGATTTGGCATCTAGTCTAGGCATCGAGGATGGAAAGAGCGATGTTGCAAGTAGTGATGCTGGCTCCAAAGTTTCTGAATTTGGACCTAAATTATTACTGAAAGTATGCTTTTTTGTATATCTGCATATAGACATGTCCGCACTTCTGCATGTTTATATTGTTGTAATACTTTGATATTCGTTACTACAGACACCAGTGTTATAACTTTAAAGATCTCTATTTTTCCAACACCAGTGTTGTAGCTTCCAACGATCGTCAAGTTATCGTTATTACGTAGATTCAAGATTTCCGATAGATAAATACAACTGCAAACTTGGTTGTACGTTTATCTAAATGCCAACAGTTATAGAAACATTAAATTAATCCAAGTAACTATATAAATCACAATTACAACTTCTCTTCAAACTTAGCTATTGACTTTGTTACTCTTGCCCTTTATATAGCCTCTACAGCAGATTTTTACAAACCTTTATGGTGTGTAAAGATTCTATGGTTTACGATCCATGAAACATAGCTAAGTTAACAAATATAACAAAATAGCAATAATTAATTATATGGCGTAACTCCACCATTCCAGTAGTTATAACAATACTCCAACTTTAACTTGGCGTTACATCCTTATTTCAATTAATTGCGGCTAACTTATTCAAATGAACGCCTTTCTTCTTTGTCCGTTTTTTCTATTGTCATAGGTTCTGCAAATCACGTCATTTAATCTGTTAGTGACTTTGTACCGATCTTTCCAATAACTTGGGAAGTTTGCCGGGCATCTCTTTTTTCTGCGCTGTAGATTGTACAACCAAACCAGGGTTTTGCTTTTGAAATCTGCGTTATTTCTTTTTGGGTCATGCTACGTTTCCGTTGTTTCGGTTCCTCTAGACATAGACAGACGTCGTGGTTTTTTTTTAATTTTGTTGGCCATTCCAGCAAATGTTTTTTTCTATTGAGTTTTATTGTAGATGACCCATTCTTATGAGGTTTATTGTAGATGACCAGGACAATAACCTAAGACACATGCTGTAATATCATTGTTGACATCTTTTTCAGCATGATTGAGCGATACAAATTTCATTCTTCTCCCCAAAGAAAACGTCCGTGATATCCAGGTAGACGGGAATCAAGCTTTCCTTCCAGGTGCATGTTGAAGGGATTATCTCAAAACTTGAATCAGTGCCTGTTACCAATTCGTATCCTGAATGAACATTCGCATTAACACCACCTTTAATGACATTTTTACCATTTAAATAATCAACTTCCTAGTTTCGATCAAAATGAATAGGGTTAAGCAAGTTTGGTGGTTAAGCAAATATTCGAGCAATAGTCATATTAAAAGTTACAATGTCCATGTCACTGACAACTTCGCTAATATTTTTAAAACATTCATCGTCGTTTTCGTCATCATCTTCATCATTACGGTAAGTACATTCTTCACGTCGACACATGCATCGCAATTGTCAAGTGCGTTGCAATTAACATGTGCATCGTAGTTGTTACGTGTATTGCAGTTATCGCGTGCTTCGCAGTCGAAATCATCCGTAGGAATGATAGACTTACGATCGTTAATATAATTGTAGGTAGTTGAATAAGCTGGTGAGATGATGTTGTTTCTTGTTTAATTGTTTCTATTGTGTCATCATTTGGCGGCTGGTCGTATTAATCTAATATAATCGGATGTGTGTTGATCGATCGTTATCACGTGCGTCGCAGTTAACACGTGCTTCGCAGTCAAAATCATCCGTAGGAATGATAGACTTGCAATCGCTAATGTAATTGTAGGGTAGTTGAATAAGCTGGTGAGATAATGCCAGGATCTTGTATAGTTGTTTCCTGTACAACTGTTTCGATTGTCTTTTTATTAAGTGATGTTTTTCCAAAGGCTGATTATATTATTCTAATAAAATCGGTTGTGTTAATTGAACATTCTGTTCATATCGGTTTATTATTCTATAGGATCCGGAAATTCAAACTCGTCCGGATCGTTACTTTCGATTATCAGAGTATCCCTTAGGCGGTTTATCAAAACTGCCTTTGCTCTTTTCGGGTCGAGGTTTATTGCCGTAGTTTATTTCTCAGATTAGTTGTGTTGAGGTTTTCTTGTACTGACATTTTTTATTGCAGGAAGTTTTGAACTATCAAAAATCTCTTTTCTATCACCAATGTTGTAACGCTTTGACATTTGTTACAACAGACACCAGTGTTATAACTACAAAGATCTCTATTTCCAACACCAGTGTTGTAGCTTGAACGATCGTCAAGTTATCGTTATTCCTAGGTTCAGGATGTCCGATAGATGAACACAACTGTTTCAAGCGCAAATTTTGTTGAACGTTTATTTTAATGTCAACAATAATAAAAACACTAAACTAATCCAAGTAACTACATAAATCACAATTACAACTTCTCTTAAAAGCTCGCTATTGACTTCGCAACTTCTGCCCCTTATATTGCCTCTACAGTAGATTTTTACAATCCTATATGGTATGTAAAAATTCTATGGTTTACAGTCCATGACAAATAGCGAAGCTAACAAATATAACAAGATAAAAATAATTAATTTTATAGCGTAATTCCACCATTCTAATGATTCTTACATGTTTGCATATTTTCATGTATGCATTTCTACATGTTTTTATGTCTGTATATTTATGTGTCTGCACATTTGCAAGTTTGTATATTTGTATGTTTATTTTTATTTTCATATTTTTATGTATGCATGTTTGCCTGTCTCATTTTCACATATTTGAATATTTACGCGTCTGTCCATATATTTGCATATTTTTACGTCTACATGTTTGGATGGTTGCATGTCTTTTTGACAAGAAACAGTATTTTTGAAATTTTTTATTTGTTCTAATTTTTAAAATGGCAACTATTTTTTTTTACGATTTTCCCTTTAATTTTGCATTACATTTTTTTAAATATCAGTAGCAAACACAATGCATGAAACTACGCGTAAATGAGCACATCAGACATCTTGCATGTAAATGGCGGAGATATCTATGCATTTGATCCTAGTCACTACAAGAGCGGTGCCAAAAATTTTAGCCATTACACTAAAAATTTTCTACCGTCTTTTGTTTCAAAAAATGCATCATAAATTTTTAGAAACGCAGTAAATTCAGTTAATGGGTTTTTATTGTTTTCACAGTTTTACGTCATTTATGAGATGGACACTTTAAAATTCATTGGATGAAGTTGTTGATCATAGTTTTTTTTTATAGATTTTTATAGAATAGAGATTTTTTTCAAATTTCGAACTATTCAAGTTTTTTTTATAATAATTGACCCTCCCCAGTGATGTGGTACTTGGTAGCTTACTTGCACTGGAGTGCTACCAATTTAAAATTCTTGACACCTAAGTACTTGGATTTTTACTTGAAAATTTACATGTACAACGTGCAAGTGTTTTACAGAAATTTACAAAATTATAGTTAAAAGTTTCAAGAAAACTTATTTTTATGAAGATTTTGGCCATTTTTCTAAAATTGTTTAAGCAAAATTGAGTCAGACTTAAAGCCAGATTTTGTCATATAAGTTTCAATATGCCATATATATGTATCTATGTTTTGTGTGTACTTGTATACACGCCTATTTTATATGTTGATTATTAAACGTGTTGTATATATGAAAAATGATTTTAAGTGCGAAGAATTACGATTGTACTGCTTGATGTGATTATCTTAGTTATATCTCAATTACTTTTAAATTACCACTACCAGACATTGCACCAAGCAAAGATTAAGAAATTTGTTTTTCAAAATGCATTAACATGAATGTGCATGCATACATAATCACACATGTTTTTATTATACATGCAAGTTTAAATGTATGTTTGTTTTGATGTATATGTTTTTGTATGATAGTATATATGATAATTGATTAAGAGGTATAAATTCAGTTTGTATGATATTTATATTAATTTATCTTTAAGGATAAATAAAATAAATAAAAACAAAATAAAATGTCCCATATCAAAATTTGATTGTTTTTTAGCAGTTATTTACAGAATTTGGTTTTTTATTAGTAAAATCTATGACACTACTTATTATAATAAGTTTGATCATGATCAAAAGTTACATTAAATTTGGTAAGTGGAAACCTTATCTAATTATAATTAAAGTTGTTGACCACCTTTTTTTTAGTTTTGTTATTCATCCTATCTCAAAACTACAAAATTTTTATGGAAATTTTTAAAATTTTGTTAAAATTACTTTGCTTAATCAACATCTGGTACAATGTAACGTGTTATTATGATACGCTCAAAAATTAGAATTGATTCAAAAAATATGACTAAATATACTACAATAAAAAAACTAACGATACATTGAAAAATATTGACTATTATAATAATTGAGTTACTATAGCATTATTATTTATCATGATAAAATATATTCAGGAAATTGGCCAAACTAACTTTCTATCAACGACGACCTCCATATTAGACGTGAGTGAAGCTTCATCAGATTGGGGAAGAGAATATGAGGATGAAGACACCTGGTTCGAATGCCCCATAGATTATCAAACAGGACCTGACACTCATCTCTTTCCAACACGTGATGTTGCATTGTCCTTGAGGATGGCCAAATACAGAAGATCAACAGGAATGCAACAGTATAGTGATGCAGTGTTGCCATCTTCATCGAGACGATCTAGTATTAAAGCAAGTTACAATC